GGCGTAATTAAAAGTACATAAATAACGTTTAGAATCTCAACCTAAATAATAATAAATAACATTTGTATAGCGCATGCCCCCACTCGAAGCAAGCTCTATACACTTTACACAATATTATTATCCCAGCAGACCATAGAACACTCAGAAATATTCTCAGCTTCCCGGGAAGCATACAGTGCAAGCAGCTGGTCAAGCGCTCAAACACTCACAAACTGACAAAATCTTTCACTGTTTACAGCTGGGTACCCATTTTCACCTGGGTGAAGTGAGGAAAATTCCTTTAAAATGCCTTTCCCACGGCCACAACGTCGGGCCCGCGGTCCGAACCCCCGAACACGCAACCTCACGATTACGAGTCCGGTAGCCTAACCACTGGGCCACCGACGGTGAGGGTTTGATGATAATAATATGCATGTCTATGTTTGTGCACTGTATATTATGTATATGCAAAGGGAAACTGTTTGATATTGCAGACAGTAGTAAACTTGCAGACTGCTAAGTGGTACGGTTGTCAGACCGGTCTGATTGCAGACCGCCGAGACCCCCCCCCCCCCCCACACACACACAAACATCACGGTAGACCGTCAGTTGGATCGGTGTCAAATCACTTCCTCTCACATTCCCCTCACGAACAGCCTGACTGTTGCACCCCAAAAACCGGTATTGCATTAGTTGTGATCGTTTTCAAATAATTATTAATCAGTTATACTTCACAAATAAATATCTTAAGGTAAGACCTGTCAAATCTTACTGAGAAAAATCGCTGCTCTGCTCTGCAGGTTTCATAAAAGTAAAAACATACTAATGGTTGACTATGTAGTTTATGGTTTATTAGTTATAACTTTCCTTTGGGGAACAAACATTAAAAAGGCAACACATGAATTTACGGTTTCTATTGGTCAAATCGCTAACATGGACAAAAAATCGCTAACGTGGAAAAAAAAAGTGATCTTTTTTCTTCCTCAATTTTGAAACTTCTGCACCGCAAAGCAAATTTTATTAATTCTTCAGACTTACTGTAGGGAACGCCATCTTTGTGGGTTGTGTAAAACTTGTTTCCAGAGCAGAATATTATGTTAAGTCCAGCACATTAGGGGCTTTGTGATTTTGTTCACTTTGACATAAATAGT